CAAAATCGAATTCTCATTAATCACAAGTTAATTTATCACATCATATAAAAATATATAAAATATAAAAAATAAAAAGGGTTACGAAATCAATTATTCATGAAATAATAATTTTTATTGCCCTAATTATGGAAGGGTACACCTTAATAACTCTTTATATTTTCTATTTTTCCCGAATCCTCAAACCGCATTTTTATTATCGCAAATTTTCACTTCATAAAAAAATTTTCATTATAATATATTTTCAATATTTTAAGTAGAAAAATAATTAGCGCTGACCTCCTGAAATACCCAATTTATATCCTAAGAAAAATTCACGATTAAATTGAATAATACGAAGCCACGAATTATCCACATTAATCAAATCGAATTGATAAATCGAATTAATCGAATGATGGGAATTTAAAACCTGAATCGTTCATACCAATCGCTTGTACTTTGCGCGACTGATCTATCAATTCCATTGAGATAAAGAATTAAAAATTGAAATGGAATAGTTGGAATGGAATAGAATAGAAAAATGGAGAAGTTGAGGATGTGGTAAAAAATATAAATCACCTCGAAGGATTGGGATGTAAGACATTGGTGGGGATAAAGGAGAAGAACGAGGATGCGCAAATGGGCTGTACCATACCAGAGAGCGCCGCCCCATTCTCCTTCCATCACCCCCTTATCCTGAGGGTACTTTTGCCATCTTGCCTCCAATTTCGCGGTTATCTGGCCCCAACCAGAATACCAGGAAAACCGGACGACCTGATACATGTCTTGGCTGCTCACCGTTGAAAAAATAACCTCGCTATTTCCATCTCCCAATTAATAACAATTGAAAATAATTGCCGATTGTCCAATTGAACGTGAGAACTTGCCGACTGTAATGGAGCAATAATGGATTTTTTTATATTTTGCAATTGATTAATAAAACAATTTAATTTTCACGGTTGTATTTATCCAGCAAACGTTTCCACCGAGAGCTTCGACCCCATCCCCGTCACCCCTTCTGATCAATGCCGCATTTCCAGTTCCAATTTCACTCGTCCGAGTGTAATCACCCACGAAACAAATTATTCTACGTGCACCAGGAGCGCATGCCAATTCAATTCCCCAAATTACCACTGAAAATAAGACATTTTTCAGTCATTCCTTCCGCGAAATTGTTTATTTCAGTATGACCCAAATAAAATTCTACCACGAGTAATCGTTACTTACGGTGCAAGTACTCGAATTGTTTATAGACTGTACATTATAAACAATTTGCGCTCGTGTCTTCACATTGCGTATCAATAAATTAAATCCATAAGTTCGTGGTTGGAAAAATAAATGAAAAATAAATATTCTCAGATTAATTTTCATTCTGTAAAATGTGAATTCCAAAAAATCCCAGTACTCCACCCAAAACTGTAAATTACACCAGTTGAATGAATTCATACGATAAAAATCTCTCTACCCCAGCAGATAAAGCAGTGAAGATTTTTCCAAAAAGTCCATTTTTCTCCATCGTTTTTACCGACAGTCGGTGGTGGCCGATAAAAATCCCGGTGAAATCCCGATGGGAGAAAGAAAAAAAAATCGGTACCCATCCGCATGTATCTCATAGTTGGCAGATCCGTCGACGAGGCGCTGCACTCCACTCTCCCCCACCCAGTGAAAAAAAAAAAATTAAATAAAAAAAAATAAAAAAAGAAGTAAAAAGAGCGGGAGTACCTCGTGGCCATAATAATAATTTTTACAAACCCGCGTGTAATCAAGGCTGCGTGTTACACATGTTTGAGCTCTCTTGGGTTACCCCTACAATTCTCTACAATTCCCTACAATTCCCTCTCCGTGAAAATGCACTGCCTTGGATTGGACGTTGGATGAAATGGTGGGTGGTGGAGAGGTTGGTTACCAAAGTGGAAGGTAGAAGGGCGGGATTTGCCCACAATCTAGGGGTAAAATGAGTTCGTGGGAGGGTTATAACTCGACTCGTTCGTAAAACCAGCAACGGCTGAACCGAGATAGAGCTACAAGTGGATTATGAATGTTGAAGTAAGACACGTACACAACATGAACCAAAGGATAAAAGGAAGATAAAACTAGGGTGAAATTGCAGGGGGTGAAAATCGTAGTACTGGCGCCTCTTTCACGCTGTACATTATTGTTGCCACTTTTAACGGTATTGTACGGCTGAAAATTGTGTACTTCTTTCAGTTTATTTTTCTTTTATTTCCTCCACTTGTGCTTCTATACGTTTGTCACCGGCAGATTTTCTGACACCACCGAGTTTTTATCAATGGGACAGATCAGTGATGTCCTGTCACGGAAACTAAACGGTATATTCTCATAATATTCACTAATTCTTTTTTTTAATTCCCCATTTTTTTTTTCCACTTGTACTTTTTTACCGATCTATCGATTTACTCATTATTCATCCCACCGATTTCTGCGATTATATCAAATTTTTCATTCTTTCAATCATTTTCGCAGCTTCGGATCAATTTTTAATTTATTTAATTAATTTTCACGGTGTCTCATTTTTTTATCGATTAATCGGTTATCGACCGGTATTGGACCGATATCGAATTGATTTTTCCAGATTTTTTCGCTATCAGATAACATAATTCTCCAAAAATTTAATTTCAACCCTCCCTAATAAAAATTAATTATAATAACAATGACATATGATATACTGCATTTTTGGCGGGAATATATAAATAATCTGCATTTTCTCTTCATCGCAATTCAATTCGTTCCACCTCTCAATATAATAATTCATCAATATATTGAAATACAATATCATAAAATATAAATATAACAATATTAATATATACATTTCAATATATTAATTCGTATGCGCACCGATCAATCAATCAATCATGTACCGGTACCGGATCGGTATCGTATTGCTCCTTGGGCCCTTCCCCCCCATTTTTTATCCCCAATAAAATCTCTTGACAACTTAATTACTCTCAAGTAAGTACAAGTGGATTTATAATTTTAAGAAAGATAATGTTCATTAAAGGGGTTTACCTGGGGTAGGGCTGGTGCGTTGATCGAAGCGTGACGAGCGGTAATTGAATGTAGGTACGGCATTTGCATTGACAAGGTTCCAACAGAGATAATTCGAATCTCGTCGAATGCTGGGGGGGTTGGAAGGGGGTGGAAACAAACGGGTCCACATACGCGGGGACGAAGCGTTAGGTCGTTTGTCAATACGACGATGGGTAGAGTAACGGTAGGTGAACATACGCGGGAGGATTCCAACGTTTCGCTGTTTGTCACGCCGGATTTCCCCAACCTATACCATTGGACAATGTATATTTGTATCTTTATTGGATTTTACCTCGATCGCAGGGAGGCAAAAACATTATCCGTTTGCGTTTGGTCTTTCGGTGGATTCTTGATGCGAATGCGTTTTCATTTGAAGGATCAATCATCATAAGACTTCGACTCTCCACAAATCTCGGTGAGAATAATTAAAATTAATCATATGTATTATTTTTTGCTGAAATTTTTTATTATTTTTCAGAGATCATTCAATTTTGGGGATGATTAATTATCAATGGGGAATTTATCTTTTTTTTATTATTTCATATCTTTTTTCGTGGGGAATGGGGAAAATTTGGACAAATTTGTCGATAAATTCAAGATCAATTTTTCTGTGGAAATTTATGGAAATTTATGGAAATTTATGGAAATTTATGGAAATTTATGGAATGAAATGGAATATTCGGGGAGATGAATCATTGCTGTTGCCTTAGTCTTCCGGGGATTAGCTCAAAATTTTTAGGATTTTCTGGGAAAAACAATACAAAAACATGTTCGTTTTGGATTAATAATTGGCGCATATTATTTATTTTTTCCTCCAGAGATTGAAAGAATTTCGTGAAAATTCCAGGGGATGTAGCTTCGAATATTAAAGCCCCTCGAAACTCCCCGTAAGTTGTGGAATCTCCGTCTTTCGACCCCCGAAACCCGAAACTTTCCTTGAATCCTCCGAAAAACGAAAAATTCCACGAGTGCTAGGATAACTGAAATTTTTAACAACAAAAAAATTCAAATTTTCCGATGGAATTTTCTTCCAGCCGAGACCTCATGAATACCGAACCGAGAACAGCAGAGACCATGGTAAAAATGATTTACCGATCAATTGCGAGAGGGTAGTACAAAAATGAGAAGGATCGAGGACATCCCTAGAGCCACGCGCCCACAGAAGGGTAAAACGAGAGAGGGGCCAAAGGCTTGAGGATAAAGAGAGTGCACCATGCCGGAAAAGGACAGAACAGAGGGTTATGTCCAGTTAACAAGGACAAAAAGCTGAACCAGTGGTACAGCACACGAACACAGGAAGGAAAAGAGACAGTGAACAATAGCCACGACGAAGAAGGACAAAATGAGTAACTGACCCACTGCAGGCGAAGGAGAGAGAGCAAGACTGAACAAGAGTTGTTTCACGGAGAGACAAAACGACAGGAGTTGATGAGCGTGTGAGGAGGATAAAGTGACCAATTGGTCAAACGAAGAGGTAGGCAAAGCCAGTGGATGAAGCTGTGTGGTTGAAGTGAGGTGGTAAAAGATAGAGAGATGAGTGAGATGAAATAACGAATCGAGAGAGAGAGATGAAATCGGGTGGCTGGCGAAAGGGTGGTGGAAAGCAGCGTGCGGTTCTGTGGTGGTGGTGGGGTTGAGACAGGATGATGTTGGAGAAGGATGGAACAGATGGGTATAGGTTAAGAGGGGGATGCTGCGTGTGTTGGCATGGACCAGTGCGTCAACGGCTGTTGCCTCATACGTACCGCCCCAAAATTATAGTTAGTGGTCCATCGGGCATTCCAACGATACAATCCGCTCTTCAAACACCTTCATAAACACCTCAGGTCCTTGTCTTTTCATCCTTATCATAAATACCATCATCGGTTCTCTGATGGTCAATCGTTTGTTCAATTGTTTGGTCAATTGTTTGGTCAATTCTTCGAGCGAGACAGTTGGGGAGGTATCAAATCCAAATCACTGACTTGTGTTGACTGATTCCGTGGTGTTTCATTTGCGAGTGTGATTGAGTGGTAATTAGCAAGCGAACATGTGATCCTGCTGGACAAATGGTAGTTCGTGGGTTGAGCTGAGGTGTTAGGGACTACCTTGTGGAAATACTCATGAACAGCGTTGAGGTGATTGTTTGGGAATAAGTGATTGTCGACGATCGGACAAAATTCAAAGACTCATTCATGGTGCAGCTTTTATCATTGCAAGATTTTTCGGGATGTGACGAGTGCTGATGGTCCTGTTGTCAAGCTGTGATCGTCGATGTGGGATATTCCCAAAGGAGTTCGGAAGAAGCGAAAGACAAGAAAGAGATTTGAATGCGAAGGTAAGCAGTGAGGGTCTCAACCGTCGCAGCAGTTGGAGAAGATTTTTCACATCATACAGGGAAGAACTGAAGGAATTTAATTAACGAATCGGCTTCACATCACTTCACATCACTTCTCCTTTCGACCAACGTCTCATCATTCTGTCATCAGCATCGACATCTCGGGAAATTGTCATTCACGATGCAATTAGTGCTCAAGACGTAAGTCTCAAAGAACCACCAAATCCCGTAGACCCGATGAAAAATTCTTCTTCTCAAAAAAAACTATCACAACAACGTGGTCATACCGAAAAAGCAGAACCACGTGCCAGTTTGACACGCGGTATTCCGTGCGTAGGGACTGTGTGGGGGGTTTGAATCGTACACCCCGCGTTCTTTTACCCCTATTTTTTTCCACTCCCACCACACCAACATCACTCCAACCATCTCACTCACACCCATCCACTCAATATCGTTAGCTCCCCTCTGTTCCATTCTGCCAACACATCACCAGCCTTCACCCACTCGCGTCCACCTTTTTCCCCATATTTTCACTACTCACTGGCTTTTTATTCGCCGCTGAGCTTTCATTCGCTTTATTCCAACGGGCGTGTGTCACGAGCCAGATGACGTATGCGAAAATTTGTGAATGAATGCTGAACGGGACAAGTAATTTAACGATTAAGTGTCATTACTGAAACTGAAATAAAGGATTAGTCAGTAATATCGAGGGATTTATCACTTGCAGTTGCTTGATCAACTGCTAATAATGCCAATCCCAATGAATATCAGAGTACTGGACATCCGCGACAGGATCACCAACAAACTACTCCCCTAGATTGTCAGTCAAAAAGCGAGAAGGAGTTGGTTGAAACCGAGGTATCAATCAGCCGTCGGAAGATGATCACAATGAATTTGAGACACCGTGAGCCTCTATAACCAGATGCTTTGATTGCCTATGGATATATTCGGCCGTTGTAATGGTCCTGGTGGTAGTGGTGGAGCAATAACAGGAAATACTGGAGGTAGAGCGGCAACGGCCGCTGATTCAGCGACAGCTAGTGGAAACGATACGACCGAGGGTAACGGAACAGGTGGTAGAATGCAATTGACTGGTGCATCAGCACCTGGGACCGCGGCCTCACCAGAGTCCGGGGTCTCACCCCTTGCTGACGCCTACACCAAGATGACAACCGACATCCTGACGGAGAGAACACTCGGTGATTTTGTCAGCGAACATCCTGGGGAGCTCGTCAAAACAGGTAATTCAAACGGCCTTTTTCGATGATAACGAGTTCAGAGCGGTTGGAGAGTTTGAACAATTGACAAATCATCTACTGTACACTTCAGGCTCTCCACACTTGGTCTGCACTGTTCTACCAGCTCACTGGAGATCCAACAAAACCCTTCCGGTGGCATTCAAAGTCGTGGCACTTGGGGAAGTTGGTGATGGCACATTAGTGACTGTCAGAGCTGGTAATGACGAGAATTGTTGCGCCGAGCTGAGGAATTCTACGGCGTTAATGAAAAATCAAGTTGCCAAGTTCAATGATCTGAGGTTCGTCGGGAGAAGTGGCAGAGGTAAGTCCATAGATTCACATAAAATCGACAAATTCCCGTGATTGTTGGCTCTTTTGGAAAATCTCGTTGAACTAGATCCTGACAATTCCGCATAAAAGTTTTCATTCGAGACTTTCCCTGAAGACGACGAATGTTCATTCATAAAAGTCTGTTAAAGTTTTAACTCGTCGGGGTTGACAGCAAGTAAGAGGGTAGAAAGTAGGGTATAAGAGGGTGTGAAGGAAGAAATTTCTTGTAGTAAGGGTAGGTCATGGATGTCTCAAGGCGGACCCTTATTTTTCCTCACCGCAGTCTCCGTAGAAAAGTCCCTTGGAAAAGGATTCCGAGGAAGGTATTCTCGGTGTACGATGTCTTTGGTGTGAGGGGTCTTCTGAGGAGGGGTTGAGTAATGGCTTTTATTTGTCCGCACCACCGCCGACTTCTCTCAAACGTATCCTCTTTCATTCTATCTATTATCCTGCAGTCCTTCTCCCCACTGACAAGGGGTTTTCATCTCAACTTTCCAGGCAACAAGCTCAGGACGATATTAATTGAGGTTTCAAGATTTTAATTAACATTATTAGATCAGTTATGCCTTTCAACTTGGTACGACCCACTCCTTTGTAACATCTGATAAAGCCAGAATTGCCTCGATGAATGATAATCATTATTGTAGTTTAACCAAATTGAAATATTGCATCAGGAATACCTGATAGCTTGAGAATTGATAATTCTCCGAAAGGTTGGGAAAAGGCATTAGCGATTCCGTAAGGACCCTGAGAATAATCGTGACTCTCAAACTCAACAAAGACATCTCCAAACTACATCCTTCATCCAAGCTTATGTTAATTCCACGATCGCTCCTGAAAACAATTGAAGAGCTAATCTCAGACAAATGACTGACGCGCTAGTGAATCTCCAACTTCCACAACCTCCTGCTAGCTTTTCTCCCCATTTGCCCACTCTCTTGAAAATTCATCCAGCGTTTCCGCGCTTTCTTGATCCTCTTTAACCCCCAATTGAAAATGAAACAACAACGTAAACCGGTGAATCACTTCCATTCGGATGTGGCTTTGCTCAACTTCACAGTGTATCATAACTTAGTAATATTGTTAATAAGCTGAGAAGCACGTCGAGATTTGTAAGATAATTCCTCCTCAATCGCGACGCCCAGATCTAGCCTGGAGGGATTGCCGAGGTCCCCTCATAAGCCCTTTAACGAACCAGATGATTCCATCAATCGGGCCATGTCTCCTTGCTCTCTTCATTGCGCCAATCTGCTTCACATCACGCATATGTAGCTCCGGTTCAATAAACACGTTCCAGCTATTCCCCGTCCTAATGAGACACCTTTAAAAAATATCGTTGCACATTAATTGAATAGAGCCTAACATCCCAATTCTTCAACCGATCACACCCTAAAGACAATTATTTGAGAGCGATTTGGCATTTGATGTTGAAGTAACACTGACTGCACCAAGAAGTCCACACCATTGTTGATGTCGAGTTCTGGCGTTATGATTGGACCGTTTAGCATGGAACCTAATGGAAAAGGAAGTCCAGATTAAAGTCTTGACAGCGCAATGCTGTGTCATTCATGGAAACAAAGTCAAAGGTCCTGTGGCGAAGGAAAGGAAGACGTGTCATCTAGTAGATGAAGAGCAGTATCACCTGGATGTAGGGTGTGTGTCTGGTATATCGGCGAGTGTCAAACGTGGCCACAGGGTGGTTTGCCACGCGAGTTTCTCATTCCTCGTGATAACCCAGACGTCCCAGAGATGAGTAACGTTTCACCAATAAGTCTGATTCCTTGGTACTTTCCCTTTAACCTTCTTTATCAACTCCCTCCCAACACGTCACTTCACCTATCCATTACCGCGACTTCTCCACATCCAGGGAATATGTTGGAAAATGGCTTTCTCCAGGAATACGAGGTACGCAACATGTCAGGGGGTATCACCCTCGGTGCCAGTCACTGAACCATTAGGAAACTACCCCTCTGATGTTTTACACTGGCCTTCAGAAGGTATAGGCGTTTTTAAATGCCCGTCGTACACGATCGGTTCAACCCACACTCATTTACCTCTTGTTTCTTTTTTTTTTCTCTGCACCTGGTGTCTTAATTTCTTTTTCACTCTCTCTCTCTCCTGCTGTTACTTCCTACTCTGGGCTGTCTGACACGCGTCCCGTTCACCCCTTCGACTTCTGGGGTCAAAATTGAAGGATCAGTATTTTTTTTTTCAGGGAACTTTCCGGAACTGCTCGCTTCAGTCTGCAGGACCTATTGCGTGGTTTTCATTCTACTCGCCTGAAATATAATCAGCGGTAGTTGCAGCATGTGAGCAGAAGTTGAAGGCTTCAAACTGTTTTCGAGTTATAATCGTATTGCAGAGCAGATCCACTCGCTGTACAATGATTCTACCTTTCGAATTTAATTGTCTGATTACATGGGTAAATAATCCACGAAAAGATCGATAGAAACTATTCAAATAACCGGTTCCACGCGGGCCGTGCCGATCAGTAGACAATTTCATTTCGATTTCCTTACGATTCAAAAAAATTAGAATTAAAATTCTTCTGGGTTGGTGATTGGTTTTCAATTGTTATTGAAACCGACAATTTTTTTTTTCATTAATAAAAAATATCTCCGATATAATCTATTTACAGAAATAAATCCATCCCCCCGAGAACGATTTCGCTTTCGCACTCGTTTATTGCTGTAGCGTGAGAGAAAAAAAAACCCCGGAACGTGGATGAGGAAAAAAAAATAGTGAGGGACACACAAAATTGCGGTTCCCCTCTGCAGTGTGTATTTTGGTATCGCTTTATTCTACCCTCTGATTCCAGAGAATTTTCCCCTTCTCATTTGTTCATCAATCCATCGACGCAGGAGTTGGCGAGCAAAGAGCGCTCTTTTGCATAATGATTTTGGTCTTGTCCGCGCATATTCCAACTTTACAACTACACACGCATTTTCATATGTGTATGTGTCCACTCGATACATTACTGCACCTTAATTCAGTTATCTGGGAGTTTCAGCAGATAACACGGTTTGTAAACTTTCCCCAACACTGAATATTTACCGAGAAAAGGTTTAATGGATGCCCCTCTCGTTCTATTCTAATTTTTTAACCTCGTTTTATATCTGAAAAAATAATAACCGTAATGTTGTTATTATGGATTGTTTAGTGTGGCTTTTTTTTTAACAGGGAAGAGCTTCACACTGACGATAACTGTTTCGACGTCTCCCCCTCAGGTCGCGACGTACACCAAAGCCATCAAAGTCACCGTCGACGGGCCCCGAGAGCCGAGATCCAAGACCAGTGAGTATCACTGTAAGCATTATTCATTACTACTTGTAAACGTCTATTCGTTAAGTAGTGGATCGAAATTTCGTAAAGATATCTGCCCCAGTCCCGGGAATTATCTATTTCCCCGAATTTTCACGCGAAATGTTGATTAAAAAATATGGAAACACGCAGGGAGAAAAATACAGGGAAGTAATCCTGGGGTGAGGAATGAGTTTAGTCTTTTTTTTTTATCTAGAATCGTGGTTTAAAAATAAGAGACGGGTAGGAAATTTTATTATGAACTCTGGAATTATCTTTACGGTACTGTCACGTTTTTTTCTCAACTCGGGAGACGTACAGTTTTAAAGAAAATATACGTAAATGAACTTGAAGATTATTCAGTTTCAGGTGAATTGTATGTGACTAGAACTGTACGTTTTTAGAACTGTAAAAACTGTACGTCTTTACGTTTCAAACAGGAATTTTTTTACTGAACGTCTCACGTGCTCTTTTCCAGGATTTTTCTCTCAGTGTGTGACGGATTTTTATTTTTATGCAATATGTAGACTACTTAAATGTCCGTAGATAATGATGAGTGAGATTTTTTTCACCCTTTCATTCGTTCCCGATGAATTTTCCGCGATTTTTCCAATGGAAAAATCGTTCTGAGACTTGGAGAAAAATTCGTTCTGAGACTTGGAGACTCGAAATCAGACTTGACACTCCCAAATTGCCATAATTTCGAGAACTTGATACTTAATCTGAGATTTTAAAAAATCTGAACTGAATTCTTCCGAAAGACTTGACAGCGCAACTCAAGAAAAAAATTTTAAACTCAAGTTGAACTCTCAATTTGGTTTTTCGCAAGTTTAAATTTCCTTTCAACCATCAAATAACTAATCAACTAAACAATAACCAAAATTTTCAAAGACTCAACCTAAAACCACGACGAAAAAAATTCCGCCATTCGAGTGTCACCTCTAAATCTCAAAACAGCCTGTACTTTTCCCAGTGTTGTTGATCTTTTGATTGATCTCATGTGGTATTCCCTCGCGAAACTGGCCAAGTTTGAGTCCCCGGAATTGCCCTTATTTATAACTTGAGTACGGTAGGTCGTTGAAAGGTGGTAGTTGAGAGCATAACGCTGATAAAGGAGTGCGGGTGCACGAGCCTTGGATATGGCACGTTGTTAGCGACCGCCTTACCAAACTTAGGCTGCCTTTACCACCCACACTCTCTACCCCGAGTCTCGCATGTCTCATGGACCTTTTGGGACATGCAGTTACCCCAAGGAGTTGGTTATTCTCACCTAGTGGTTGTCGTTGGTAGTTGGCACTGTGCAAGACCTTAAGAGAGAGGGGAGTTAACGCGCTGTCTAGTTTGTACGAAACTTAGTACCCTTGAATTATCACCAGCACTTGGAAGGCCTCTTCCCTCATGTATTATGTGAAACCCGTGATAAACTCCACCCAGAACAGCGATTCAACGTCAGGAGAAATGATGAATTTCAAAGTATAATCTTGATATTACGTAGAGCTGTTTCTAAAAATACTCGAATATCTGTTTGTTCCACATATTCCACAGTGAAACATCAGTTGCGTCGACCACCCACAATCCAGACGATCATCGCAAAATAGAGTAACAGTCTTCATCTTTGAATTCAGGTATTTGAGATGAGATCTGTGGGACCTCAGAATAGTTCCTTTGACGGTGATGCTGCCAGGCGTTCAGAGTAAACAGAAGACTCCAGAATTTTTTCACTGGAAGACACCACCGGGTGGTCTGACGTCTGTCTTCGGAATGTTTGAATGATAAGTGACAAGATGTCCTGAAGCTACAGTTGACAAAATTCAGAATCTTTGGACAGTCTTCTTAAGACAAATAACGACTGGCGAGTGATAAATTGACGGCTTCCGATGATTCTCTACCCCTTCTGAAACAATACTGTTTCCATTTGACAAGAGAGTCCTGTAAACCTCTCCGGAGACTCCTGCGGGTGGTGCTTACGTGGACGTGGTTTGACACGAGGATAAATGAGTCTTGGCCCGGGCGCAGCCTCCCAAGGCTAACCCCTCACCAAAGCGCGAAAGGGTTGTAATTAATTAAACAAGCAATTCATTACACATTCAACCCTCGGTCCTAGTGGCCATTTTCTCCCCGCCTCTCGTTTTTCCATCTCTGTTCAGTTGGAGTTGCTTCTACCACTGGGAGAGCAACTGCCACGGAGTCCGAGGAAATTGATTGAGAAGCATTTCAAACCCCTTTCCAAGGTCTCGTACACTTGCGCATCCGATTAAGAGGAGTTCTTTGAAGGAGTGAGCATCAGTCCCTCCTCCGTCACACCACGAAGATGAATTTAGGATAGGATATATTGAACTATTGGAGAATGAAGGAGTTGTCCAACATGCCATCCTGTCCGAGAAAATGAGGAGTCTGTCGTTGACAGCTGGTCCAATTCCCTGGGGTATCTTCACGCCGGGTTGTTAAGAGGGTCTCGATAAAATCGATAGACAACTTATGAAGTTAGGGCTTAGAGTGACGAGGGCTCATTTTTTACAGAGCCATTCGGTCATTTAGTTCATGAACTAGGTGACAAGTCATTGAACGTGGTAACAGCGAGAAAATTATGTGATCAAGATGACAACCGGGGATGATTGATCTGTCATTGACTGCATGAAGAATATCATGGATTGGTGCTCCTCAAACACATCGACTTCCGGATCAACGTAGACTCGCAATGTCAATCCTCCCCGTCGTTAAACTGTATCTCGTTAGCCGTCAGCCGACGTTCCTCTCGTCAGTATTCCGTACGTTGGTCCATTGTGTGTCTCTCCGCTGAAGCGTACCTATTCAGCAAACTAGCGGGAATTTTGGTGGGGAGGGCAGTTAGAATTAGGGCTTCGATTGGATTATCGAGACCGTCGGATAGTCCTAGTGGCCTCCACCCCCTCGAACTCCTCCAGTTGCTCCTCGCTACTAGTTGAAATTTCTCCCTCATCGTGGTGATAGCTATAGCTGTTGAAAATCGGTCTCCAGTGCCTTCAACAGTTGCCGTTGGTAGCCACGTCGGAGTGAAGATAAATTCAGTATAAAGGGTGTGGACTGGATGGGTGTGTTGTCTCTGTCTCACTTTTAAACAGAAATCGACACACAGTGGACACCAGTGTACACTGAAGTCCCTCCACTGGACGCCTGCTGGGGCATCTTTAATTGGGTTGGCGACATCCTGCCACCAACTGAACGGGGAAATAAAATCTATTGGCCATCTCCACTGGTTCGATAATTTTCAAACTATCCCTCGGGGGTCTAGTTTGCACATTAAAAGACTCAATGGTTCCTGCATGATCGGTTATGGTAGACTAATGGTGTTAATGGGTGAATATTGTGTGGAGCTAGTGTGATTTTGATATCGGCTTGAGTTGGTCCAGCGAACAGGCGCACGGTTGATGGCAGTGCTATCATTTCTAGGGCATCAGCAGCAGTTTCACGCATTTGCATTTGCCTCACAACGGGGTACACCATTCTTTGCATCACCACTTGTCGATTCACTTCAGCCACTACCGAATCCACTTCAACCACTGCCCAATCCACTGCAACCGAGGGATCCACTGTCGTCATTCAGACACGCAATGCCGGGAAATTGTCAGAGTGAGTATTAATGTGTTACCGCAACTTATTAAACAACGTGTATCAAGTATTTTAACGTTATTATTCAGTGCACACTGCATTTATCATCAAACACACGTTTTATTTTACCACATCTTTCACTTTTCGTCGTATAAATCCTGAGCAACTCAGCTGAGCAACCCAGGGGCTTTTGGCCCTGGTTGTAACCGCAAGCCTGTTCAAAGCTAGATTAAATATTATATTAAAGGGCTTGCCAGACTATTCCTATCCCCCTCTACTCTCTACTCTCAATCTCTCTTTCCCTCTTTCCCTCTTTGGAGTCTCCAACGCGCTACCGAATTCGCACGCGAATTTCTGTGGGTTCGGCTCTCAGACTTACAATAAAAATAAATAAACATACAGAAACAACTGCAGTATAAAAAAAAAGAAGAATCCAGCGAAAGGGGGAGTAAAAAAGCACGAGCTAGCAGTGAAAAAAAATTCCAGAGCTGAGGCACATATAAACACTCGTTTAATGAATTTCCTGAGATGGCTCTCGATGCGCATCCATAATCCCTCTTTCTCTGGACGAAAAAATTCTCCGATAGAAAGAGCTAACCGGCTGTGGAGCGTGTTCACAAATATTCCACTTATTAATATAATTTTTCTCCCCTCTCGCCGTTGGTACAAGCCTCAAACTATCTGTTTTTAATCCCCTGGAGTTTGTTTGATTTTTAACCGTACCGTCAGTCGCTTGACTTCCGGGATAGATCACCCCGTACGAGATCGTACCTCTATTGGAATTAGCAAACCGCGCAAATTTTAGCAATAACCCCGCGGACAAAACTGAACAGAGAGTAATTACATAAAATGAATGTATGGCAGTTAGAGTGAATAGGGAAGCAGTGGCCCTGGGTTTCAGTATTTAGGGTTTAGACTAGCCGCGACGGGCCAGTAGCGCTCATCGAGGCGAACTCTGGTTATTTGAGTTGGCCATAGCAATGCCGACGCGCGGGGACATCCAACCCTTTGATCTCGTAACTCCCCAGCTCCGTTAAAACCCCAGCCTCGGAAACACACACACCCCTCGCGTCTACCTCGCCTCCCTCCACACCCACCACCCCTCATACCAACCCCCTCGATGTCCAGTCAGTCCAGTCCAACCCCCATTCCAACATTATTCCTCCAGCCTTCTGACCTTCCTTTTACGCGCTGGAAAATCCATTCCCAGCCTGGGGCTTGCCACAAAAATAGCATGTCAATATGATGACCGAAAGAGGTTGAGGCATCCGTGATAGATACTCATCAAGATCACAAAGAGCCTTTGACTACCTGTCATTGTTGTACGTCAGTGACACAGTCAGTCAGTGTTATGATTTATCTGTGTCTAGACATGTCTCAGTTTGGATTGACAGCTGGCAACTCTTGGGGGTATGGAAGTACAGCTGGTTATGCTGGATACTTGCCTGGTCCGTTGTCATCCTGCGCTGCACAAGCACAATTTCCACCACCCCCACCGCCACCACCACCACCACCATCTGCTCTAGCTTCTTTCGCGAGTACCACGGCAATGAATACACCAACAGCACCTGATTCAACAGCGGGTACCACTGTACCTGCTGCCAACACCAGTCGACCTCAGCAAGACGCTTTTACTGCTGTCTCTTCGTGTAAGAATTCCTCTTTGGGAGATACTTATCGGATTTTCATTGAACATGATTATGACAAAATATGACACAATGATTTTCAGTGGTTCCAGATACCACAACCCCGGGGCAAGCTGATCCCCTCGATCCTCTATCCTCTTTGATGTCTGGATCTACCACGCAGAGGTATCAAGATTACGTGTCACCGAGATCTCTGTCAACAGATTCAAATACAACAGACAGTCCAGTTCATGAGGAGGGCTTTGGTCAAAACTACAATTACTTTCCAACACCTGGTGTTCTACCAAGTATTCTCTACTCTCAAATATACGGAAATCAGTTTCAGAATTCAGAGAGCCCCGAGCAAACAGCCGTCGCCGAAAGCTGCAGTGTCAGACAAGAGGAAGTTAGACCAGATAATAATGTTTGGAGACCATACTGAAAATTGGTAAAATAGAGTGAACATTGGTGCTTGTGAAATTACGGTGTTGTATTATTTGAGAGCGTTTATTGACTCTCACTTGTAAATTTTCATGAAACTTTGAGACAAGAGTCGAAACAACTTGGGCATTAAACCTTGTAATACGGTGGGACGTGAGGATAATTCAAACTCTTCAACGCACGTACGAAAAAGATTCATATTAAAACCTTGAGTACTCAATACGATCGAATGATCGAATGTGAGAACAAAAGTCCATAAAATTTCCAGATTTTCGTATGAAACTTTTTCATAAATTAATTGTTTTCATAGATTAATTGTTGAATTGATCATGTCCCCGGTTGTCAACGAAATGACAATTGAACGATAAACAGTGGTATGGAAAGTGAGATTCAATGAGAGTGAGACTGAAGAATGTAAATAAAAATAAATTGTAAATATAAAATGCAATCCGAGTCCTCGAAAATACGGGGGAGCAGATACCGAAGAATCAGACAAAAGCAGAATGTTTCATTTAACGTTTTTATAGTATATTTGTGTTATGAATATTCGGGTCACGTGCAATATCTGATGGTCTTAGGAGATTATGTTTGTTAATTTCATAGCCATAATTCCGTATTTCGTGTTAAACATGACAACTAGCTTCTGAATCCTACCGAAGTGAATGTCTCGAAAGAAAAAAATGAATTAAACTGACGATTAAACGAATAATTTCACATATACATATCTACCGACTATTGTTGTCGTAGTTTTTGACCGAGTCGAATAAAAACTGTATTTGAAATGAAAAACAAATAGTTCTTACTCAATGCTTACCCAATGCTCCCGCCACTCTAAAAATTCACATGTCCACTGGACAGAAGTGCCGAATATAGTGACGTTAAATAATTCATTAAAAAATTCATCAATTATATTTTTATCCCCGAGTGCATAACGAATTCACTTAATTAGATGAACGTTTTCCTTCTTCCAACAGTTCACATCTTTCCCTTGACGCCCTCGGACATGTTTTAACCATTCTATCCTTCTTCGGTGTAACACGAAATAACAGGCGTGAATCTCGACAAAGGATTCTCCCAGTACTGGCGTTCACTAGGGGGGAAAACAATCTGTGGGGGTCTTCATAGGAAGGATTCAGCAGAGGTGTATGCAAATTTCAACAGAAAATTTAATTAAACTCGTGTGCCACTGGATCTCCTACTCGTGTGCTTTCAATGGTTCCAGTTTTTTCGGAAGACACTCCCTATAAATCTCAACGTTTTCACCAAGAGGGTGTTCACCAGAAACTTCAGAGGACTTCCTCCCAATTTTTTATCGAAGACAAGACAGTTTGCAAAGGGAAATTCGTGGCTTGGTGTCTATCTTCAGGGTGAGGTGCTGCTGCAAAAAAGGTAGTTACAGAAATTTTCCATTTATTATAATCAGTTAAATCATTATGGAATAGTTTTTAGATTTTTATGTGTCCTCTTCGGATGATACGAATGAAAGTTAAGATTTCCTAGATTGAACTCCGAGATTTGTCGGCAATCGATAGAGAAGACGCAGACTAGACAATTGCGGAGACATACCTCCTCCCTCTTCATCCCCGTGTGCAAAACCACATGAGTATTAAGGGTAGGTTAGTGTGACCGTTGATACGCGGTACACCGGCATAATAGAGTATACTATGGCTGGGCTCAACATAGAACAGTGAAGTAGAATGCGGATAATAGAGTATGGTGAATAGCGTGTAGCGAATGGCCGAATGTCGAATGGATATGGGACTTTGGGTGCCTTCGGCCTCCCCGTCTCAATCGTCCAGTCAATGTTGGATACAGATCGTTTAACTCCTGACCAGTTAGCCAACTCATTCCTATTGGACCTCTAATTATCGATAATCTTTGCAAAGATATTCGACCTGCGAAGGAAGTCATTTTCCTCAAGCGACTCGTCCCGATTCCAATTTATTCTTCATTCAATTCCGACTGCAGCTCGATCTCTTCGGATTTCAAGTTGATACTAAAATTATTATAATAATTATCATTAGTTTATATTATTATTCATTATTCATTGATTATTTAATAGTTTCGGGTAGCTTATGCGGTTTTAATTCATCTGGCAGAAGGAAGATCTTAATTTTTGAGATTGATAAACAGAAATTTAATTAAATCTTGAAATTTTTGTAACTTATTATTTATTGATTGATAAATAATAGACTCTTCTAGCATATCTCTATGGAATTTCATGGATAAAATTGATTGGCTTCAGTTTAAATGATATGATACGTCCATGGGGAAATGAATAAACTGAAAACTAATGAAATAAAATCTTTGAGAATAATTTCAGCGTTAAGATATTGACTCGAGCACTACAAATTCGCGATATCAATGAAGATTAATGGGTTTTGGCTTCGAGGGGTAAAAAAAGGGCGAGTAAACAGAAAATCGTTGAGGTCAACCCACATGGGGTAGAACACGAGAGCGATAACGGTGTGGGACGTGGAGTGAAAAAAAAAATGGAGAGAAAAAAAAAATGTCCCAGAGCCCTACATACCACCGAGTGAAAAAAAAAAAAAAAGTGAGAGTGCGAATGAGTACTAGTTCAGTCCTCATATGCATATCGCAGTGAAGCCCTTCCTCCTCTCCTCTTTTGTACATCCAAACGCACCCCACGAGTACACGTGGCGGTTTTCCACGGGGTAATACTCGTTCTCACGTGTGCAAATCGCATGAACACACACACAGGGGAGAATTGTGGATGGGAAAAGAGGGAAAAGCCGTAGTATGGTACGTCGTTACGTGCACCGGTCGCTTTGGCTATACCAATACCCCTTTCCCCTGTGGACCATCGTGAATCGGTCAAGCTCTGGTGGTCCCACCACCCTCAATCGGGCCCTCTCATTCTACAAGCGAAATCACCCTTTGTCCGGTGGACGAGGGGCCAAATTACTTTTTGCTCATGCCAAGATTATGGGAGTGACATGGGTCGGGTGGAAAATGTTATTTCATCGAATCGATTACTCCACTATTGAGATCGGGTTTGATCAGCTTCGAGAATTTTATACGTACGCCAAAAGATAATCTAAGACCACTGGTATTTGAAGAATTATCCTGGATTGAGGGAACTTCCGACTTTGGCAGTTGATAGGAGATTGTGCAGAGGAAAAGGATTCGTTTGCGTTTCAAAATATCGCGGGAAAATAAAATCAAAGGGACACGATTAGAAATCAATAGTAATAACAGTAATCGTAGTAATTATAGAGTTATACAGTCGATGAGAAGAATTCGGAAAAAGGAAATATTGATTTTATTCGTGAATTGATTGAAGTTATCCACGGAGCGGAATATTTAATAAAAATTATGTGTCTTTTCCGTAATTTTTAATTAACTATCTGTGAAAAATTATAATAAGGTCGGTAAGGGAACTGAGAGTTGAGTAATTTTGAAAAAATATTTCTCGGTGTTAGGCAATGTCATCCTCGCAATTTATTTTTCCAAAATATTTTTTATCTCAATTTTTTTTCGATTGTTATCACTCGTGTGTAATATCACTGTCGCGTATTTTTTCGATGTGCCACCGAAGTTTCGATCACACACTAGTCCTCTCCATTTAATTAACACCGTAATCTCGAATTCAAATAAATCCAAACAATTCGTGTACAGAATATTGTTAGCAGCGAAATAAGTAAGAGACTTGACGAAGTGGCTCCCTAGAGTAAAACAGTTGGAGCGGAATACTGGAGGCCTGGTGTGGTGAGAGCCAGCCCTTGATTACCGAGATCTTCATCTACATGCTAAACATCGTTCCTCCACATTGTCTTGAATGCTCTTGTACTTACGTGTGTACCTAGATATGCAACTCGTACCCTCGTCATGCCCTCCAGCAACCGTTCCCTCTTTCAAACAAAACGAATGAATTCCCTCCATTTTCTCGTTCGACCCCCATTCCCAAGCTTCAATTCACCCCAGCATCAGAATGTGCTGTTTCATTTATATGTTTGTTCTAGATTAAATTGCGTGTCGCATTCACTCCTCGTTCCTTTTTCGCGCCTCAGCGCCAGAAAAACGCGGGAATCCCAGATTTGTGAGTCACAGTCAAGGTCACGTGGAATTTATTTTAGTTTACTATGGGTTTTTTTTGGTAGCGCCACCCGTCTCGGTGGAGAAGATTGGAACCCGTGACTTCTTATTGCAATTATTTTCGAGGAGCTACGACAGCGCCACTTCTTTAAGAAATTTTCCTTAGATTCTTTTCCTCACTTACCGGCAGTACTTCAAGACGATGGTCCACCGGGTCCTTACGTGACGGCGATAAAGGAAGGAATCTCTTCCTTGAAGATATTGATTTTTATTGCGGTAGTACAAACGACTCGGAGCATTTTTGCTATCAATGTATTCCGAAATTTCTTCTTTTGCTTTTTTAAGATTTCCTCAGGAGGTCGTCAACGCAGGGGAAGACGTCCATCCTTCGTACGAACATCTCTTCAGGGAACATTGAGGATTTTTTTTTTTCGATAGATATATTTTTTTCTGAAAAAAATCGCCGGGTTTTTACCGACGTTCTCACTCGCTTCAGATAGGTTACCACGGGGTGGTGGTTCTTAGGGCGCGTCAGAAAGAGAATCACGCAGTACAGAAAATACTGGAGGGGTTGGGGTTTCTTAAACAACTCTTCTAAGTCGCCCGACGGAGGGCGACACTTGTTCCTATCTTAGAAAAATGTCTGAAGAGTTTTGAGAGAAAAAGAATTCTTTATAGTCCTCAGTTAAAATATCTTTGGCTCGTTGATTCGAATGCGAAAGCGATCGAGTTCGATTTCCACTCGAATAGAGTCGAGATATCTAATCACTCGATTTCGATTGATTTGGCAAATGCAAAGTGTCAAGACACCCCCAGAGAAATTAATCATTTTAATTAAATATTTATTATTAAGATCCCACCAATTTCTTTCGTATTGGTATCAAGTAATTTATTTAATTCAAATCAACCGTTGGCGTTTTTAATTTCTCGGCTCACTGTCGAGTGGGAGTTTTCTAAGAAAAAAATAAGAGATGACTGTATCTGACCAAAGATTTTCCCCTCAGATAAGGTTTTCCCTTGGTCCATAGCGAATGAGGTGATGCGATTGTTCACTCGTAAAAGCCTGAAAGTATATACGATGAAGGAAAGAATTTCGTTCGAATTCAAATCAACAATTTTTCTTCTATCAATCGAAGGAGTTGAAAGAATGAAAGGATAATCTCAAGAGAATTAATTACTCGATAATTGCATTGTTTTTTATATTCTATTCCGTGAGTTCCTTGAATGAACTTGAATGAAAAATGAGAAAGCGATATTCTATATAAATATCCCAAAAGGAAAGTTTTAAAATCCCTCTCAAAAGTGGTGTGTCCAGTGATTTGCCTCCGAATAAAAAAAAAAAAATCCAAAAAAAGATTCGGCTGGGACATACATTCCCCAGGGTCGCCGATCATTCCCCGAATGGTCCTCAGTGCCACCTGTCCTCGAATGGAACCGGTGACCCCAGAAACACGAAAAGGAAGGGAACGAGAGTTAAAAAAAAAAAAGAAGCCAGAGACTAGAGGTGAGAACCTAACCTACAAGCAAGACCGAGATATCTCCAAGTATCTTGGCCGGGTCTCGCCCGTAGCTAGGCAACCCCCACTCCTTTTCTATCCAGTAGAAAGGCAGGGTTATAAAGACAGAGACGGCGACGAGAGCAAAGGATACGAG